ATTTTGGTCAAATTTGGCTAACAGATATAGGACATATTAAACTACAAGTAATGTGTGGTTGAGGGCTTGATATGAGCTAGTAAAGAATGAAAGCTTTTATGTTGAAAAGGAAAATCCATTAAATTTATAAGTCACTTTGAGTCTTATTTTCTACTTTCCTGTTAAATTTCATAACTACTGTTCTTTTGAAATGCCAAAAATAATAGTGAAAAAAGTGTAAAATCTGAAAAAAAGGTCTGCCATGTTGAATGAGATCACTGGTTCCCCAGCAGCACCATTTGTATATGTATCCCATAATATTCACATCATAGGTAAAAACCATATAAAACATTGCAACATAATGCTGGATGGGAAGGGTGTCCCATCAACCCCCCCCTCCGAGGTACGAGTTTGCATCTACATGTATGTTACCTCTCTTAAAATACATTTATATGTGTAGACCAAAATATCTGTACACCAAATCACTAACATGTTTCTACATTTATTTTGTAAGGAAACTCTTTGACATGGCTTTGGGTGACAAAGGGCCAGCCACCTCAAAAGAATTAAGACTTATAGTTACTCCAAACCTTTCCAGGCAAGTTCAAGAAAAATTTGGTGTAGTGGTACCTATGTCGTACCTAGTTAGTATGTGAGAGGCATGGGCTTGAATGTCATCCAAACCTCATTTTTTCTTTCAGGCTTCCTTTCTGCAATTGCTTGAATTGCAAGCCACCTGCGAGCATCATTACTTTTCTTTACAATTATTGAAAACCATATGTTCTTTTGGAAACACTGGTTTTATCAAAACATCCTCTTTGTTCAAGATATCTTTAATATACATCTGAAGAGCCCAGATGAATAAAACTCCTAAACCTGAGCCACTGAATACAACCAAGGTGCCTGGTACCCTTAGCAGATTTGACCAGCATGCACTGTACACATCATTATAAGATCATTAATGATAGAAACACCATCAAACCATCTGGTGACAAAAAGTGGAAAACTACTTCTCCTATCTATTTTGAAAACTGGGAGATTGAATTCTCTTTTACTGGGCATACATGAATCAACATGAGACAACAAACTAACATAACTCTCTTTTAAGCTTTTAAACAGGATTACAAAAACCGGAAGATGATTATTTAGAATTTCATTAACAAATAGTACAAAATATTCTTCTGGCCAAACCCAGACTCATGGAACACAGACTGTGACAAAGAAAAAACTTTTACTCGCTCCAAAGGCCCCAGCATCACGGTTAAATAAAGTATAGGCTTTTGAGTGCCGCTTTCCCCAAGAGTGGTCCCTTCGACTTCCCGTTGGAGAAAAGCTTTCTTTTACTTTTTCCATATCGAGGCCAAAATGACCGGAATGAAACAAATTAAATTACCTTGTACTCGAGGATTTCGCTGAAGAGCTGTTATTACTTCAAATGACTCGATACGTCCTCCTGGCATTCCACGACAGAAATCAGGGCTGAAATACCCGCAGTCACTACAATCTTTCCTTTCCATGAATCATATAAACATTAAAAAGAAAAAAAAACTCAGTAAATTCTTCCGTCCGTTTTAATAGCTTTTGAAATGAAACAGGTCATTTGACGAGGGAAAAACTTGCACAATCACGTCACGCAATACGTCTAGCTGGGGTTTATTCAGTTAATTTTGATGGTCGCCGGGAAATGTTGAGTTTGTCGCTCAAAACCGTGGTGGCCCATAAGAGCGTAAAATCATTAACGATGAGAACAAATACCCAGAAAGGAGGAATAGTTCATCGCGTTTCGTGTGCTAAATTTCTGGAGAAACTGCAAGAATTCTTTCAGAGTGTATGCATGTTGTTTTGTAATTAACAATGTCACGTATTTTAACTTGTTTGTGTGTCCTTTGAAGCAACGCGATATGTCTGTGATGACCAGAGTGCCAAATTTTATCCTTTAATTTTGATCTTGTCCACACTGTGTGTATTTCATGACCTGATATTTTAACGAAAATTATCGAGAAGGCGCCTTCCGATCACCTTTGTTTACTTTTAACATTTCCACCTTTACCTTCGGTGTTAATATGTAATCCACAGTGATTTGCTTCAACACAGTGTTACCAGAGTCAACCTACACTAGCGACTAAATACATGAATGGCTCCTACCTGTAATTGGATGATAAAAATAGTAAAAGTTAATAGTTATATCTTAACCTCTTGCTCGTGGATATTGTATAACCTTATGCCTCCCAGCAGAACAATGAATCAACAATGCGAGTGAAAACACCGATGTGTCGAACAAGAAATGGTTACTAACATAACAAAGAGAAGGCAGAGCCTTTCTTTCTCATTCAGCGGGGTCGTCCAACGATACTCCGGCGATGACTTAAGCATCTGCTTACTAACTGCGCTGACTAAACTCGTTTAGTTTAGGTGGACGATCAGAGACTGGAGCTATTCCCACATTTCACCGCTGACAGGAATGGCTACGACTGGTGCTTTTAATTTTTTTTTTTCGTTATGGCTAAATAATTTACACACTGAGATACACTAATAAAACTGAAAGAGTGTTTTATAAGGTTCTTCTTATGTTGAACTTTATAATACTTGCAAATGAAGCCCTCTTTTATTAATACAGGGCCATGTAGTTTCTAAGTTTTAAAATAATTCAGCAACTATATGTCACGTTTTCTGGGATAATTGTTTGCATGAAGGACAAATCCTTTTATCGGGCTCCTCATTTCTATTTTTGCTCAACACCTAAAGGATGAAAGTCGCGGATTAATTTAATTTTGCTTGGTAATTTTTAATAACTCCACTAGACCTGAGAAAAGGAAAAAAAAAAAACCAACCAAACAAACAAACAAAAATGTCTGATCAGTCAAACCAGTGGCAGCAACTCTCGCACTGAATCATGTCGAGGTACCGTGACTGCTCGCAGTGAAGGCACAATCAGTCTTCGGACAGTTTTTCGGCTATAACCTGAGAGAGTAAAATGATTTTAAGATTTTTTGTTCAAAACT